GATGGTCATAAGTTTATAAACTATATCTCCACACAACACTGAGAGAGAGAGCAGCCAGACAGTTTACTGGAAATTACGCTCATCCAAACACACTCACGAAGAAAGTTGCCTCCTCAGCAGTGATACAACATGACAGCACCCTGTCTGATATATCTGCTCTGTTACTGTCACTCATTCTGCACTCAAGCATTTCAAAGCTACTGGAGATAAACACATCACATGCAAGGACACAAACACGATAAGATAACTGACGAGTTGTATGTGTGTATAGATGTAAATGCTGGAACCTCACAGCAGCTGTTATTTTATCTTTATTAAACATCCACTTCATTGCAACGACACCCTCGTGCAGAATGCACAAGCTTCATAGCAGTGACTTGGTTTAGATTTACTGTATTTGTGTAAGATAAATGTGTGTGTGGTTGTCTATAAATAAGGCATTGTTCTTTGATCCGGAGGGACTCACACTATGGCAGGTGAATGTTTTTCTGAAACAAAAGGAGGTTGTGGTTGTGCTGCAAATATATGTTTCTTCTGTGTTTGCCTCAGTGTCCACACAAGTAGTTTCAGGGAAGATGTTTTTTAAAGAGGCATCACACTCTTACTTTCACCCATGATTTTAAATCCAGCGTTTGAATATTCAGTCTGACAATGTAGTGAAAACATGTTGTAGACCAGGAGCTCTTTATCGGTCATTCATCTCCTGTGCAGTAGTACTGGCTGCTATAACTCAGTGTTATCATCAATCAATCCTGACCTGATCAGTGTTGGGTTGCACTCTCTCTCTTCCTCCTCCTCTTCTTCCTCCTCCTCCTTGTTCCTTCCTCGTCTCCATAAACATCTACATTCAAACCCCACTGAAAACGAGACTCCAGCCTTCAGCAAAACTCATCCTGTCACCAGGCTTGTGGTGATCTTGTGCTCCACCCATCCTCCTTGCATCTGCACAACATGTGCATCGCTCCGAGTGCTCATTAGAAAAAATTAGAGCTGTTTTTGATAAATTGCCCAGATTCCTGTTGTGCTGTTGGTGTGGGGTAAACTTCTCCCCCCCTCTGAGCAGCATGGCTCCTTGTTCACACCATGCATGGACAATGAGGAAACACTCATTAAAGGATAATTGGGCCCCTGATATGTTTCTGTAGGTGGAGTGGCTATATGACTTCAAGTTGATGACCTGATTCATCATTTTAATATTTTTCTCCGGTATTTAATGTTGATAAAGTAGCACAAAAAGAGAATGACACTTATTTGAGAGTAAACCTCAGCCAAGGTCCATCAGTTCCCTTAAACCAAAATCTTTTGCCTCTTAACAGGCTGTACATGTCCGTTAGTGATTACTGAAAACATGTGAAATGAATGGGCACTATTTAGAACTGATTTGTGAAGTTTGGCCATTTTTCAGTGTTCTGAGACGGAGACGTCATCATAAATGTTATCACTTTTTGTATTTTGCCATTCATCAAAACCTCATGTTCGTTTGGATGTAATTCCAAAACTATTGAAGATAAATACTGTATGATACCAATATTGATTCCCTGCTTATCCAGATCCCTGCATCCTTCCGACGGGTTTTGTGGAAATAGACAAGCAAACATACGGACTGGGGTGAAAACACAACCTCATTGGTGAAAACAATAACAGGAAAAATGGACAATCACATCACCTGTCTGTTCTCAAACTCCATAGAGCCGATAGTTTTCTACATCACTTGAAGAGCAGCTAAATATGTCGTTCATTCAAGACAAAGCAGAGAGCAGATTTAAAATAACTGAGAAGGTTGGCAGAGAGAAAAGCAGACAATCTTAGTTTAAAACATCAGCCTCTGATCTGAGGATATAAATATCCACCCACTCTGGCCTCAGTCTGAGAAACAGTAACAGTGAGTGTGTGAGTGTGAGTGTGTGTGTGTGTGTGTGTGTGTGTGTGTGTGTGTGTGTGTGTGTGTGTGTGTGTGTGTGTGAATCTGGCACTGTGCCATCCACCTTACACACCATTTTTAGATGGACTCTGGAGGGATTTTTAAAACAGTCGACGACGAGTTTCTCTGAATCTCGAAATCTTTTTTTGCAAGTCACTCAAGGCCATGTTTGCTTGTTGGAACGTCGGATGTAATTAACTGGAACTGTAAACAGCCAAACGTTTTCTTAAAAGCGCTGACATGGGAAAAATATGCACAAATGTTTGCTTAGAAAATGAGTCAGACTGGATTCACAGTTTTAGAGTTATTGATTTAGAGATTGTACCATTGACCAGGCTAATGGATGGGACATGGACCAAACTAAAAAGTCGAGTTTCTCTCAAAGATGGCTTCTCTTATTGTTGATCTTATCACAGTAATATATGTTCAAGTGTTAGTTTTTGTGATAAGTTTGGTTTTAATTTATTATTTGATTCTATAAAAACTGTGACCACTGAGACTGACTCATGATTGGTGTGTCGGAGGCTCAACAGCTCAATCACTAGAGAGCTGGAGATGGAAACATCTGTAGTTTTAGCTTCTTTCGTATAACAGGAGGAAGTGGAGATGCACCATCTTTATTTACAGGTAGCAGTCTTTCACAATCAGCCACCACATACATGAATTGTTTAAAGGGTGAGTTCACCCAAACTACAGACATTAAACAGATTCTTAATAATATGCATCGTGTTTTTCCAGGATTCCTCGGTAGACTAGATGTAAAGATGTATGTTTGTGGAGCTCACTGCACTAACAAACCCTGGTATAGCTTTTACTTTACTCTTCTATTTATTTGTGGCCATACTATGACTCCATTTAAACCGAGTATTTCTAAGCAGTTACTGTGAGGCAGACTCCTTCCTGTAATCGAAGGTGTATTGATCCAAAACTGTTGCTCCAGTGTCAGGTAACATCATCCCTAGTGCACACTTTGAATCTGACCTCTTCATGCATCTTCCATTATGCTCATTCACATCTGGCCAGATGTGAATGAAGCACAAAAACTGGAAATATGAGAAGCTCACAGTGCTCGAGTCTCCCACAGTTAAAACCTTTATCTTGCTTCTATTCCGGTACGTCAGGCATAAGGTGCGGCAGATGACTGACAGTTTTGATTTAACCTGTGTTTGCTGAGGATGCTTTTGTTCACTGCCCGGGGTTCTTTAACAGTAGAGGAGGCAGAGATCATTTTTCCAGTCAAGTCTGTGGATGCGAGCCAAGGTTAAAGTGAATGAACTGCTGACCATATGCCTTATGGTCAGCAACCTTCATACTGCTGAGAGTGTAAGACTTGGTATGGACTGAATGGTAGATTAACACATCCATTTTAGTAGCTATACCAGCAGCAAACTAATATAACCAAAGCTTTAGTGTTTGTGTGGCTCACTGAGGTCGATGGTGTGTGAAGTGGTAATATTCTCTCAGGATAAGTCGAGTCGAGCTGACTGTGCTAATGATCCGCTGTGTTCAAGGATAATTAGTTTTAGCTCTTCTGGTGCCGTTCAGAGGGATCAGGATGCATTTGTTATTGTTTCACAAATAGCTGGGGCGTTTCCCATTAGCTGGGTCACATCTCCGGTACATCAGCAGCTCACTATATTGAAAACATGAGTGAGGACTGGACACCCTGGGACTGCAGCAGATACTCTAACTTACTTATTGTGTTATAGACTTTAAGTCTTAGATTTGATTCAAGACTTGAATGTAATGAAGTTAAACAGTGTAATTCTCATAGAAGATGCATTAGTTACCTTTTAAAAATAGAAACGAGAGGTTGCTGCCTACAATATGCTCATACAGCATGACTCATGGTTTTATGGTTATGTTTGGTGAAGTTTAGACAAAGATGATGAGCTGATGTTGCACGTTAGACAGTGAAAGAAGGTGAGATAACTTGAACCCGATGAAGGCACCGGTGTTAAAAGCCTTTAGGGTGTTATGGTAACGGAGAAGATGCCAAATAATAGTTCTGCTGGTTGAGGAATCCTTCAACTGGCACCATTTCATAACCTTCATGTTCTGGGAATCACATATATTTACATGTGGTAAATTCAAACATGCAAAACTAAAAGTTTGATTGCATTTTGATTTATCTGCTCTATTCATGTGCTTGTTGTTTCCTGAGGGCATATTTGTTTTCATGGGAAGACACACTGCTACAGAGAGCTTAGCACACTTCTCTGCTGTCTTTTACAAATCCCAGAGGAAATATTGTCAAGAAGCACTAACACTTTCCCACCTTCTGTCAATGAGAATAGATCAGGCAATTTCGCAGCCGGAGTAATTATTTTGGCTGATGAGTGTCTGTTTTTTCTTTCACACATGAGCCAAGATCACATTCTGGTAGAACGACCTGTGAGGAGTGCAGAGCAACTCTAAAACCAAACAATGCTGTCATTGTTATTTTATAGCTGAAGCTGCAGAACATTGAATTTTGTGCACACAGCAACATATAGAAACAAAAAGAATAATTACAATAGTCACCTGCTGTGAAAACGAATGAATATTTAACTTTTAAACTAAGCCGTGTTCACACACATGGGATCAATTATAAAATACATCAATTAATTTGTTTAATTAATAAACTGTTAATTATTTAAATAATTATTTAAAATCTTATTTTAATATTTTAACCATAACTTTTAAAACAAACACGGTTCTATTTTAACATAGTTATATTTATTTATTAATTTCTTATTTCTAATGTGTTTCCATTCCAATGTAAAACACTTTGAATTGCCTAGTCTTTATAAATAACCTCATCTTCTCCTTCTTCTCATTGCTTTTGTGTTCTTTATATGAAAGCATGAACTTGCAAGGTCATATGTGGACCTTTCATATGTTTGCATTGAATTCCCATCTGTATCATGTTATAACCTGCTGAGCTGTGCATTAATCAGAGGACAGGTCAACTAGAGAGCATGCGGCGAGCTAATGGGAGCCAAGGTTGGGGCACTTTGGCCATGTTTTTACAGTATAGTGTTGAAGAGTAGAAAATAAACCGCAGAAATCAATGTTGCCCTGCCTCTCTTTCTTGCAGTCTCAGCAGAAGTGCATCGTGATCTTTGCCTTGTTGTGCTGCTTCGCTGTGCTGGTGGCGCTGATTTTCTCAGCCGTGGACGTTTGGGGCGAAGACGAAGACGGGATCACAGAGGAGAACTGCAGCAAGAACTGCAGGTGAGACATGCAGAACCACAAATTTACAATTCGTGGCCTTTATGTGAGACTTTTGTGAACAGTCCGGTTTGAAGTGACAAAGAAAGCAGCATTTCTTTTAAACCCCTAAAATGGATCTCCTGATCCCTATTGGCAGTCCAGACCTCTGAGTAAACCATTGTGTTATATTTCATATTAGATGTTATTTTGGTTTTGCTGATTCAAAATTATTTTTTAAATTTAAATTTATCACATTGGTGCTTTCATAGCTTGTAAGAATGAAATACATAGTTACCTCCGCCAAAGAGGTTTTGTTTTCACCTCTGTCTGTTTGTTGGTTTGTAAGTAAGATTACACACACATTTTTTTTTTTCACATCTTGAAATTTGTTGGAAGGATGCAGTGTCGGTCAGAGAACAAGTCATTTAATGTTGGTGCAGATCTGGATCAAGGGGCGGATCCAACATTGTGTGATATATACACAGTATATCTATATATATTTCCCAGGGTATAAATCATAGATCTTGATTAAAGATATCAGGCATATTGAGGGAACTAATGTCTATGAGAGTTTGGAAATTGGTGCAGCTCGATTGAATATAAGGGGACTGTTAGGCCTTGGCAGAGGTCTGCACTCTATGAGTGCCATTCTGATTTGATTTGCCTCGGCCCTGCTGTGTTCCACCAGCTTCTGTTGCAGGAAACAAATTGTTAGTTCCCAGTGTTGCAACCCAGCACACACAGGCACCAGATAAAAGACCAGACTTTTTAACAAAGCTTGCATTAATTCACAGGGCATGTGGAGGTAAAATAATGTGGCAATGCCAAAATATAACAAATCCGTTTCATTATTGTAGCTGCCCTACTGTCCTGAAGTGATTACCAGGCTGTTTCTTTCTACCAGAAATTTGAAAGTTCAATATGGAATCCCCTGATAAAAGAAAAAGCTGTGCAGAAAAACACTGCACTAGTGAATGTCTTAGTGGCCCAGAGTGAAACTGGTTGATCAGCAGACGTTTGGCTGATGCGGCAATCCGTGTTCTCTGTCACCACTTCTGACTGGATCCCCTCTTATCATTCAAGTTACTCTTCCTCCTGGAATTACCTCTCTCTTTGCTTTTCATTATGTTTGAGGCCAAAACTCTCTCTTCTTCCCCAAATTAGTCATTTAACAGCCTTCCACAGAACTCAGTCAAGCATCCTTGTCTTTCACTGAAAGTTTAAAGTGATCCAACTTGTAAAGCTGCATTGGCCTCCTCTGCTCCCCCGAAGGACCCCTCGAGCATGGCGGGAAGAATAAGAAATAAATGCGAGGCTAGCGGAGAGATGATTGGGGGGGAGGGTGAATCAAATGAAAGGGGAAGAAGAGGAGGATATGGGGAGTTGGAATGAGTGAGAGATGAATAGATTCATCTGCTGTTATTGGCTTCCTGTCAGGGACGACAGGGTTTATCAACCCCGGACTTGACTCCAAACAAATTGACAGTGTGTGGTCAGATTTACAAGTGTGCAGAGTTATTTATATAATGTGGCATGCATCATATAAAACAGGAAAAGTGATAGTTCACCATGAGACTGACACGTTTATAATAGGGTGCAGGGAGCCTTGCTCATCCTCACATTCCTAAAGGTGTTTAAGTCATTAAAGAAAATGTGTCATTTCTTCCACCAAGTGTTCACACTTTTAAAAAGGATCCAGTGTTTAAGTTCAAATGAAATCCAGGACATTTCTAAATGAATGATCTAATTACAGGAGTTCGACCTGCTGCTGACTTGATATGTGGCCTTTTTCTCTCACTCTCATTCTGAGGCCACGTAATGACTCAGCAGCTTTTTTTGCACACAGCCGGTTGTTTTGTGGTGTAGTTAATGTAGAGTGAACCACGTCATATATAATTGCACTAAAACCTCATCCTCTTAGTGTTTTTGTTGCATGGTTGTTGGGGCAGTTACTACCCTCTTGTCTGATTTGATGCCAGCCGGATATTTCCCCAGTGTACATGTGTAATTGCCTGGTATCAGATGGCTGATAAGCAGGTTACTTTTGATCTACAGTTGCCCCGCTTCGGGAGAGGATACAGCACTTTAAACATTTTACATCAAATGTGCCTTCTTTATCAGGATGTAAAAAATGTCAGGGTTTGTCCTCCAGCTCGTTTCCTCATAAGAAAACAGCTGATTGCAAAGATTACAGGGGCATATACATTTCATCAGGTGGCAAAGCAAAGCAGGCAATGGTCAAATAATGGTGGTTAATCATTTTTAATATTTAATACTAACTAATCTTTAAGTAATCATGAATTCCCAAGACAATATTAAAATAAAGCTGGTGCAACATCCACACTCTATTGTGGAACATCTAGCTATATACAGCACAGCCTATTAACAGGTCTGGGTTCAGTCAATGCAAACTTTTGACCACCACCCATGTCCCCAAACACCCAGAGCAGGAGATGTGATGTATAAAAAATTAATAAACTGCACCAGCAGTGAACAGTCGGTCGAGTTTCAGATAATGGATTGAAATTCATATTCTAAGTGTGTTTACCATGACGTCAGTTTGTATCTGGACTTAACATTTACCTATGAAGTGAGTTGCAGGCAGGCAGCAGACCTGCAGCTGCTCCTGTGCTACAGACATTAATGATGTAGTTGCTGCACACTCGGAGCTCAGGGCAGCTTATGAGAGGCTGGATAATTATCACATGTCAGGGGCTGCCACAATGATTTCCAACATGATCCCATGTTGTTACACTACGAGCTGTAACAGCAACACAAGCATATGGTGGTAATTGGCATAACGACACAGATTACACTGACATGCTTTTGTGATTCATATATAAGTTATTGTTCATTCATTATGTAAACTCCTGGGGTCCCAATCAGACCCATTAGTTGGCTGATAGTTACAACAATCCGGATCAGCAGAGGACAACACAGACTGCATACACGAATGGAAACAACCACTGCATCCCTGATTTCTCCTCTTTTAGTAACAGGGCCTGTCTGACTGCTTGAACTACTCACAATCACCATTCATCATACAGTAAAGCCATTAGAGAGGTCTGAGAGGATTTCTTTCAAGATAAGATTACTGCCCCTCCTCTTCAGTCTGTTTTTCATCCATCCTTGTTTTTCTTCATGCATCGTAGCTGTCCTAGTTTTTGCTGTCTTTTAAGAACAAAGAATCTACACCGTGCCTGAACGATAATCTTCTTTATAATTTAATTTCAGCTCACTGGATTTGTTTCCGTGTGTCTTTTCTCGGAGTACAATCTTCAAGCCGAACAGAGGATTATCCTTTGTAACGCCTCGGTAGAACGTGCACCAGCTTTACCTGCGATTCTCCCAAACTCTGGCAGAAATTTGCATTTTATCCTGACAGAGGGTGCGAGTCCTACAGTTTGACCCTTGGCCACTTTCCAAAACCTGACCGAGCTCTACTTTATCCAAGGAATATTGTACAGCTGGCAACTTGCCTCTCAATGTGATGCCAGTACATTATCACCTGCTGCACATGCTCCCACCAGTGTGCCCTTGAGTGAAGCACTTGCCAGACCCTGAGCTGTCACACTTTGGCTGACCCTGTGCTCCAGCTGGTCGGGAGCGTTATGATCTATTTGGTTTAACAAAGTCCCAACTGGGGCGTACACCAAGGGAGACAGACTATGTTTTATAGTCAGAAGTTGACCGGGGGGAAATTATTCTTGTTTCTCACTGGTTTATTAGCACTGAGGTCAAAAATATAACTGAAGTGGTGTAGGCTTCTTAATATGTGACAGTTATTCTATCTTTACCAATGACGTCTACTTTACAGTGAGATCTCAAAGTGTTAAACCTATAAAAAGATTTTATCAATTAGCTACAAGCAACAATCAATACACATAATTTCTGTCTTTGTGTCCTCTGGTCGTCTTAATTGAACTATTGGCTACACTGCAGCTTCCTCCCACAGTCCAAAGACATGTAGCCTGGTTTAACTGGAGACTATACATCGCCCATGGGTGTGAATGTGAGTGAATCTCGACTCAAATAAACCCTCAAATAATAAGTGGTATAAATAATTGATTGATAGTAGAGACATGATTCCAAATTAATGGAACTGTATGTGATTATATGCAGAAAAAATGGTTTAAAGTCCCAACCAACCATGGAACAAAATAGATTGTATTCATGTTACTCAATCAGAACTCCTCTTTCAGTATTGCTCCAACCTTATCCTTTAAAGTAAGTTAATAAAATATTAAGTATGTTCTATGCTATTCTCTTCTATTTTTCATGATGTGGACAAAATAACAATCAAACTGTGCTGAAATAAGAGAAACATTTTCTTTAGGGTTGAAGCTTCCTTATGTATAGATTAAAGAAGTAAATCATGTCACTTGACAGGTTTTATCAGGTTTGCAGCACATGACTTCATCTCATGACCAACCAGCTAATCTAATTGACCTTTCAGTCATGATGACATCATGTCCATGTCTGCAGTGATAAAATGAATGGTTGTGCTGGTATTGTAATGATTTCAATCATGGCATGTTTAGATTTTACTGTTAAGATGTAGTTTGGCGTATCCACTGATTCACTGCTCTAATGCACACTTTCAGAATGACCTGCAGCACAGTATGGATCATCTGTCAGAGGCACCTGTAAAGTCTGTGCTCTTAACCAAACCATCTGCAGTATATTTACCATAACAGGTCTTACTATAATTCATCCCCCTCACATGGAAACAAATAAATTCTTGAGCTGGATTGGTTTTGTCACTTTCTTGGAAACTTAATCGAGCACAGAGGCGCTGCAGAATTTATATCTGAGCTGGTCACACAGGCTGATCTCCCTCTCCCCCATTTATATTTCTCTCTTAAAATCCAGTTGGCAGAATCAATTTCTACGAGGCTGAGACAGAAAGAATGCGGTGAGCGTTGGAGCTTGATAAAAGCCTGAATGGTTCTGTGTGACTGCAGATCTGGGGCGGCCACGGATAATTCAATTTGTTGACTCCGGTGGTAATGTCCTCGTCGTTTTCAGACATCCCGGTGGAGTAAAATGGGAGATGAAAATACATTAGAGAGAGCTGAGAGTTGCAGTTAGCCAGATAACTTGACATCACACCTCGGCAGTAAGTGCAGAGATATTCACGGTGATGTATACAAAAGATTAAAATGTAAAACAGCTTCCAATGAGTATATTTTCCACATCATTTGCCATCCAGGTTGGTGGTACACTTTTGTGATAAGCAGATAATCTCAATGATACAGCTATTCTCTACTTCATGCAATCCACTGAATCTGACATAAAGTAGATTTGTATTGCCTATGTTCATGAATCCATTCCATTATTCATATATTATGGCTGCTGAAACCACATGATATGACTGCAGACTGCTGATGATGACATTAAAATGCACCGTGTGATAGCAGAGGGAGTAGAAACCAACAAGAATACAGCCAAAAAAAACTTGTCCCTTATCCCTGACTAGGTGAAACTGAATCTCCACTGCTGACATCTCTGAACATCAACCTTCACGTCTTCTCAGGCTTCACCACCGGCAACCTGTAGAAAATTTAATAATTTAATAACACTTAGCTGGTGTGGAAATCTTGATTTCTCTCATTAATACAACGATCAAGAGTAAGGTCACTTTTAGCTGATTCATATATCACCATTAACACTCAAGCTCTTAAAATTCTGCCTCTGCTGCAAACAAGTAATTGCTTTGACAGACCATGAACCTCACACTCATTTCTTCAGCAGTCTTCCACTAACAAGTCTCTATGGCCTTTCTTAATGATGCTTTTTGTCTTTTTGCATCTTTTTCATGTAACCTGCATGTAAATAATTATCCCCTCTCATCTTCATGACTCAGTTTTCTCTCATTATTTTCCACAGAGCCGTGCTTGTTGAGAACATCCCAGAAGACATCTCCTTGCTTGACAATGGTACAGCCCACGTCCCTCTCTCAGTGGGGTTGTACAGTTTATTGGACCGGGCCATCAGGGTCGTGGAGATCGTTTCGCCACTGTGGCTCCTCAATTCCTCTGATTATGAATCGAGCTTCCAGCCGGCTGCCAGACAGGTAAAACCAGAGGAAGCCAACAGATACTGTAAATGCTGTTATGTTTTTTTACTGTTTCCTCTATGTATGAATTTGCCTCCTCTACATAATCAACAGTTGTGGCTTAGTTTAAGTACCAATACAACAATGAGAAAACAGACAGGTTCATAACTGAGACCTTTAAATCCTATTTTATATATCATAATAGCATTACTTGTAGCCTGTTATAAGACAGCATTAGATTGGAATATTTTACATTGGTGGATATATAGTGTAAACTACTGTACATACTATTGTGGAATGGAGCTTCTGCTATGTCATGTAATACACACATGAACATTTCTCACTTTATTGGCATTCAGCCTATTGTTGGTAGATTTCAGCCCTTTGTCTGTTTCCTTCTCTCTCTCCCCTGTCATCTTCATATACAGCCTATATTTGATGATGTATAGAAACTTTTCATACTAATTAATTTTGAAAGCATAACGGACGATTGGAAGTCTAAGACTAGCTCGACCACTCAATGGTGTAACTTCATCAGCAACTTAGTCATTTTACGGAATTCAAAGCTTCCTAGAAAGCAACATTTAATCATTTTCAGGGATATTCATATATACTTATGCATGACTGCAACATCACTGATGTTATCAATGCTATTATGATGTTGTTGTTGTGTTTTAGACTTTGTTCTGTAGGGTACCCTCTCTTCCACAGCTCATCTGTGCATAATTCAGTCAGTGTTAAAAGCAAACATGGCTGAGTTGCGAGTGTCGAGGTTTGTCAGATGCGAGCGCAGAGGTTTTGTTTGTTGTTGTGCTGATGTTAAGTTAGAAGCTACTGAATATTTACAATGCTGCCCTTTGTAGTTGAGTAGAACTATAAATTAGTGAACTGGGGATATTCATGAAATGTAACTCAACTACCTCTGAGCTTCTTTCGAGTACAGTCACATTTCAGCCCAGATAATGAGACAGCTATAACCAGATATTTGATTTTATTTTCAGTGAGGAGGTTAAACAGGTACAATAACTTTTATTTGTCAGATTTAGAAAGGTTGTTTAACTATAAGATATTTTTCTGCTCCAGCCAAGACACAAGATAATGTCTAGGTCCCAAAAAATTGACAGAATGACCTGTGTGAAATGAGCAACTGCCCTTTCAAAATGGTATTGCCAGTAAAAAACAAGTCTATTTTCAGGCTGATTGAAGCGAACTATTCATTTTGGATGTGTGTTATTGGAAGTTGCCTGGAGGGTTTGACCAGGCGCACACACTTCTTCTGTTTTAAGAAATGGAGAATGTCAGGGCTAGTGAAAGCCTGAGGCTGTTGACTGGAACGTAATAGCTCCTCCAGAGGCCTCAGAGCAGAGAACGGCTAATGGTCTATCAGCCTCCAGCAATCTCTCCACACACAGTTTCCAAAAAAACCCCACATCATTGAGAGGGAGACTGAACCAGAAAATATAATATGCTGTAGCCTTTTACTGAAAAGGCAAAGTTTGCTAGAGGTGCGGATTCTCTTATATCAGGCAAGTGCACTGCATGTCTCAATGTGGTTTGCATATCTTGAGCTTCACTGTTCTTTGGCCTGAGTCCAGCAGCTGGTCCTCACTTATTGCAATGAAGGGGAATTAAGAAAATTAAGTTTTCCATGTTTCAATTATGAAAAAGCTTTTAAATCCATCTTCAACTCATGAGACAAAAAAGCGAAGGATGTTTTTAACTCTACTTGGTTGAGTATATTTCAACATGCCAGGAATTGGGAAAGTGGTTGTTGAATTAATTAAATGTATTATTGCAATGCTTTACCTCAAAATAACATAATAAATACCCATTGCCATTTGATATACTTCTGTTCAATGTGTGACATCAATACAGTGAACCACTATATAGTTTATTAATCTGTTAAATATACAGCACGATCTACGTTGCAGGTTAGTTAGAATGAGGAATGACGCAAACAGGAAAAAATAGTATCATCTACAAACATGAATACTACATCAAAATAAAGAGACAAGAAGTTGCTGGGTGCCGACAAAAAAATATATTAAATAATGACTGACTCTGACGGACAATCCAAAAACGAACCTGAACGCAGTCTTGTCTGAACACCGAGTGAATCTGAAGTGACAGCAGTGATTGGTTTCCATCAGGGCCGGGCTCTGCTGTCCAGGCTTCAGGGGCTGAAAGCAAAAGGGATCCAGCTGAAGATCTCCAGTGGGATGATCGACTCGACCGAGCTCAAGATGCTCGCCAGACACAGTCAGTGCCCACTGTCACTGCATTATACATTCTGTGTGTGCATCTTCAAACATGCTGCAGCTCAGCTCCGTCTGTTTAGTCCGTTGACTGTCCTCTCTCTCTTCACTCACTCTGCATCTCTCTTTTCATCTGTCTTTCTGTCTGTTGTCCTCTCCTCGTCTCTCATGTGTCGGACTTTATTTCAGCCCCTGTCTTTGCTTTTCATTCTTATCTCTGCTTCTATTTCTCTCTTGTCTAGATGCTGAGGTGCACTATGTGAACATGACAGCACTGACCAAAGGTCACCTCCTCTCCTCCTTCTGGGTGGTCGACAGGAGACATTTCTACATCGGGAGTGCAAGCATGGACTGGAGATCCCTGGCCACAGTATGAACCACACTACACACAGAAGTACATACACTACATAGTGTAGTGCAGATTTTTAATACTTGAACATATTCAGATACAAACTTGTGGAAATATAATTATAGTATATTATAAACATTGTTTAAACAGTACTGACACACATTTAGAAAATGGTTACCATCGTAAATCTTAATGTAAAACATGTGTTCTCATTTTGCATAGAGATTTAAGTCAGGGCATGGTGGTGGCATCCAAAAATAGAATGTGGCCATTCTTTCATCTCCCTCTTCAAAGCTGGGAATCATTGGTTCATTAAATCGCGGCTCCATCCATCTTCAGACACCCAAAGATACTAGAGGCCTTGACTTAGGAAGATAAATTGCAGGGAGCTCAATGAGGCCAACAAAACTTATTTGGACCTGTAGTGTTTTATACTGTGCAACTAAAAGTAGTTATTCGAGAATCACTTTTATACATGTAAAGTTACACATTTCACAATTCAGTATTGCTGCCTCTTAAGTCAGAATCCAATTATATTCAATTTACATGAACGTAAAGTCACATTACAGAGAGTATTTTAGTCTATTTCAGGTGCACGTTGGTCTGTTTTGAGGGAGATGAAATAGATTGTATTAAATAGGCCTATGGGATCTTAATTTGCTCATGTAAACATAGCATGGAATGGGAGTGAATGAGAGAATGTAAAGGCAATTTTGGAGGGAAAAGTAAAGAAATGATGCTGAGGGAAAAGAGAAAAATGAAAACAGGTGTATTGTGCTGGGACAATGGGTGAAGGCCTGTGATTGGATGAGACAACCAGGACTTAATAGAAAAATGCATATGTTGTATATTTGTAGGTTAATGGGTCTTTGAGACAACTGTGAAAGGAAATCTGATGGGAATGTTGATGGAGACGATGGAAAGCATTTTTGCCGATGATGGTGAAAGTAATGATGACAGTGTTCAGGAGATTCAGATCATGTGAATGTTTCTTGTCTCCATGCTAATGGTGATCAAACACAATTTGTTTTGTTCTCCAGAGGAAGGAGCTGGGTGTGTTGGTGTACAACTGCAGCTGTCTGGCTCTGGACCTCCACAGAGTGTTCAGTCTCTACTACGGGCTCCAATACAGAGACTTCATCCCCTCCTTCTGGTCCAAGCGTCTCTTTGCGCTCTTCAACAAGGATGCGCCTCTGGACTTCACTATTAACAACACCAAGGCTCAGGCCTACATCTCTGTGAGTGACGGTCATAATATTAGGTCAATCAGAGAAAAATGTGGAGTGAAATCTTTTCTAGTATTGTAGTAATGTATGAAAATGTATGTGGTGCATTACAATTCTTTGGCACAGCACCAAAGCTTGCTCAATCATTCACCATCACAAAGTTGTTGAAGACTAGAATGGCACTCAGTAGAGAACATACGTCCACCAAGGCCGGTGGAGATCCATGAATTATAATCTGAGAAATCGACAAAACTGCTGGATCTGCCCAAATTTAATGATTTCTCCCTTGTTAGATTTCCCATCCTTCAACAGCGTTTTGTGAAAATCCATCCTGCAGTTTTTATATAATCCTGCTGACAAACAAGCAAACAAATAAACGAACCACCTACTATGGCACTCAGTAGAGCGCATGTCTCACGATGAAACCACATTCATGTAAAATCACTATTCTCACAAAAATTGCATACTCAAAAATATTTTTAATTATTCTCTGAGAAATCAACTAAAATGTGAAAAACATCCTATCTCACAATATTTAAGAAAGTGGAAAAATTCCTGGATCCACACCTTGGGTTATGCCCCACCCCTCCACAAAATTGGTTGAGCAATTTTTGCATAATACTGCTAACAAACAAAGGAGCCCAGACAAAAACAAAACATCCTTATGATAACTGCGTGGATCTACCGTGAGTTCACACGTTTTTTACAAAGAGCGAAATTGTTGTTAATGTTCCAATTGTTGTTTTTCTGCTATGACAAGTATAAACGTCTGCTTTGAGACAGTTTACAACAGAAACTTGGACACAGGTATTCAGCTCTTAAAAGAATGGACTCTAACGTGAATTTGTTACACACAAGTGCAGCAGTCATATCTAATGGAGGCGACAACCAGGTGGGAGAGAACATTATTTACACACAGTGCCTCTGCAGGACATGGTCTGTCAGCATCCTCTGCTTCCTGGAGATGAGTGATGGCGAAGTCATCCTACCTGCAGCGTACAACCATTGATTTGGGTGTGCTGTCCATGCAAGATTAATATCAAAACGTAAACTACACACGTACACTCGGCACACTATAGCACACACTCACAGTTAAACATGGAGCCTGTCAACAAGAAGTTAAAACTTCAGTTTCAATTACAAAGACACACAAACGTATAAAACAGAGGAAGACAACTGAATCCTTGTGTTCCTTTATAAAGAAGTTTAATTAGTTGTCATCATAATTGATAAGATAATTCATTTCCTGATTGTCTTTACTGTCTTTCCTCTTCCTCTTTCTTGACAGAGCTCTCCAGATGTTTTCATCCCCAAACATCGTAGCAATGATCTGGAAGCCATTTCCTGGGTCATCCAAGAAGCCCGCCATTTCATATACATCTCCATCATTGACTACCTGCCCCTGCTCAGCAGCAACGCCCACAAGTTAGACCACTCTGCCACTGCATGAGTTGCTTTCTTTGGGATGATTTGACTGGTGTCAATCATCAAAAGCTTGAACACCTTGCTTTGATTCTAGTGATTACATTCTGTGTATGCCTTCTGGCTATGTGCCTAACTAAAGTTGTCTGTGTGTCTGTGCCAAGGTACTGGTCTCGTATCGATGGCCTTATCCGGGAGGCTCTGATCCTGAGGAAGGTGCGGGTACGTCTGCTGATAAGTTGCTGGGAAAAGACTGAACCACTTACTTTCAACTTTATCTGGTCCCTGAGGAGTCTGTGCATGGAGCAGGCCAACTGCTCTATGGAAGCTGTAAGTACAAGGCCACTACGTACTATTTACAGCTCCGAAGATACACTTCATCAGTGCTCACTGCACCACCGTATGCCTGTGTGTGTGTGTTTGGTGTGTAGAAGTTCTTCAACCCCAGAGTGCAGAGGGATGGCAGTCTCCAGGGAATAAACCATAACAGGTTTATGGTGACAGACAGAGCCATTTATTTAGGTGAGCTCATCCTCTGGATTTTATGACTATGTCCCCACTCACTTCATGCAGATCTAATTTTCAGTTGGCTGAAAGGAGCAGCTCCGCATTTTGGGAGGTAATATTGCTTGTTTTCTTCAGCGAAAATTAGATCAGGAGGTTGCTACCACAATGATTTCCCTGTTCAGATAGAGCTCGGAAGAAATTAGCCTAGCTAAGCATTACCGGGGGAGCAGGTCGAAACAGCTCGTCGCTCTCACCAAAGTTAAAGAAAATACAACCACCAGCAACATGTTCATTTTCTTAATTGCTTACTCTGCCAGTACTTAATGAAGTTAATGTATATCTGTTCCAGTGCAGTACCTGTTCTAAACCTGTGTGTTTGGACTTGGCTGTTGGCTTGTCCTAATCCCAGTTGCCTCTAATGCAGAGCGCTTTTCAACTCTTCATTCAAATTGTATTAATATAGAACATATCACATGTCCAAATCGCACCAAACTCACTTCCTTGGGCCCTGAACAACACACAAGTCAAGTGTGCAGCCAGGAAGATGAACAGTTCTCGAGATATGTGAGCGACAGTCAGACAGAAAAAGATTTTGGGAATTAGTATAGTAACATATATGTAAAAAAGGTGCTGAAAGGTATATATTTTAACTGTGTCTCTTTGTTTCCAGTCTTAATGTTAAGTTTAGCTCATCACCTCATGGTTTCAGCTCCAGTTCACGGACCCTAACTGTTGTATCGATCTTTCCATCTAACTCTTGGTAATGAATCGATTTTAAAAAAAGTATTTCTGCCCTTCGAGGAGCAGGATGGTCATTGATTCACAGCTTGATTTTTATTTGGTGCCAGATATTAATTGTGTCTACGTAAAACCGTAGTGACTAATTGTTTCCTGACAGGTAACCTTGACTGGGTGGGGAATGAGTTCCTCTTCAATGCAGGAGCAGGCCTGGTGATCAGCCAGCCAGAGGGTATCGAAGACAGGAACTCCACGGTGGTGGAGCAGCTGCGGGCAGCATTTGACAGGGACTGGTTTTCACGTCACACCCGCTCCCTGCAAGCAAACAAGATCCCTATTTGCATCAAGCACCAGAACAACAGGCCGGTTCCAGGGAAAGCCAGCCACATAGACAATGGGCCGATGCCTATCAGAACAGGCCAACATGATACTGCACCTGCACCAATGAGAAACAGTCACAAAGACGATGGGCACACGCTGGTGAAAACGAGGTACCATGATGAGAGACCGACCAAAATTGATCACCAAGGCTTTGCAAATGGAGTGGTGCCAATTATAGACAGTTATCGCGAGAGGGGACAAGTTAAAATTAGTAACCTTGACACCAGTCAGCTACAAAACAAAGGTAGTTACCAAGACAATCCAATGGATCCACCCAGTCAGTCGGCGGAGAGCAGCGGCAGCAGAGAGATGTCCAACAGATCCCTGTGACAGCAAAGATGGATTCCTTTTCACTGAATGTCTAGAGGACTGCTCTTTTTCAGCAACAGTGGACTTACATCACTGTACCAAAGTAGATACCATAATGATGTTACAGTGGCAACAAAATGAATGAAATGCCTCATTCATTTTCTCAATTAAAATGGATAGAAAACTTGTTTTCTATGCACTTAATTCCAGAAGTTTGCCATCACAAACAATGTCTGACACGTCAGACACACTAATGTCTACTAAACCAATCAGTGTCAAGTATAGCAAGAAGCAGCCCACAAGGGTGATGACGATGGGACGTACATTTCATAGAAAAGTCTGAAGTCTACTCACTAAATTACATGACACCAAAACTAACCAGATCAACAGACAAACTCGACCTTTAATACCACAAACACTAAACAATGTAGCGACCCATACATCTCTTTTCTTGAGATCATAATTGAATTAGTAGATGCACCTATTCTGCTGTGGCAACAAGAAACATCGTCTGGCCATTGGAAGATTACAGCCTTCATTACAATATTTTTCCCAGGAGGAAGAGGACCTATTGATCGGAAAGGGTCCTCAGAGAAAGCCGTTGCTTGTTCCATATACAAATCCAAGGAAAAGTCCAGAAGCTGAATGGATATCTATGGTTTCCTTTCAAATGAAGTGTTGTGACTTATTGAACAAATACTAAGGAGCAGTTTGAAGAAGGGGCCAGAGGGTCTCTGCTGTCTGCCAAATCAATACGATGAATTTTTAAAAGAGCTTGACAGTTTAACCTCAAGGACACAGTGGCCTGTAATGTCGTCCTGTGGCTGAATATATATTATCTTTCACATGTGAAGTCAGAGCTTAACATATAGTATTGTTAGCAAAGAGCAGGTCATATAATCTTGACTGAAAGCTTGTGGCAACTTTAATTTGCATTTTTGAATAGCTGCATGTCAAGTCAAGACCTTTAAACAATCTTTTTTCTATGTGGGCAACTTCTGCAATTATACTTTGTGGGTTTATAAGGTTGAAGCATTTTTAATTTCCAAAGCCATTAATCAAGGAAACAGGGAAACATTAACAGATAGAGCAGCGTAGTGAGTCTTCATCAACACCAGGCACGGGTGTTATCACTTTTTTGTCTCAATTAATTAACTGGGTTGATTAAATAATTTAATTCTGCTGGTAAACGGAATATATCACCGTTAGAATGTATGTATGAGCTAAAACCATGAATTTGTTAATTAACATTAAAATTATTAGTAACTACTCAGTTGATTTTACTCTAAAATGCCAAAAGGTTCCAGCATTTCTAATATTATTCATTATTTAAATACTAATATTAGTATTTTTCTTGGTGCTCTGTGACCAGTCATGGTCTCCATTTTCTGATATTTTACAGACCAAATAATTGATTGATTAATCAAGAAATTGATAAACACCTTAATTCATAATGGTTACAATGTTTTGTAGCAGATCTTATATTATACAACACCTGATTTTTTGTTGAATCAATCTTGTGTTTCCAAAGAATGCATGTACCCTTTGTTCACCATTTGTGCTACATGTCAAAGATAAGCCTCTATACAGACTCAGTCAATATCTTTCCTACACATGTATGTACAGACATGCAGCTGAATCCCAGTCACGGTCAAAAAACACAACTATAATCTGGTCATGATGGATAACTTCTGCCATCTAGAGGAAGTCAGGAGAAAAAGCTTTTCTCACATAATGACATATTTCTCGAAAATAAGCCTTGATTAAATTAACATGTGGGTTTGCAACGTGTTTGTGTCAGTTTATATAAAAGACCTAAAATTCTGTTGAGAGTTTTTATTTTATTGATATCAAGAGATAAGATATGAAGATAATATACAAAACACTAAAGTATAATCATATATCCTAGTAAAAACTATTAAATGTTCAATTATAATGTGCAAAATAATAATTTTATTTCACTTTATTTGCTGCTGTAGTCATTTTCTGAGACACAACCATTAACGCATCCATATACTAATCCAGAAGTCTGACACAAATGCTGATGTAAAGCAAACACAACAACACGTCATTTGTAAAAGTGTCTTCATGCAGAATGAGTCACACGTGAAGAGCGTTCTCCCAATTACCACATCCACATATTTTCTTATGAAGCACTATGTCTCCATGCAATATCGCTTGTGAACTGACAGCTTGTCTGTAGTTTGATTCTCTACTTGATGCTGCTATGTACTATAATCATGTGGGGGCATGAATGCTGCTAATAAGCCTGCACCCAGGTCTTGTTTACTTCTTTAAAAACAATTTTGATCTTTATAAACAGTAACTATTTTATAGTTTGCATGGACCAAGACTAAACCTTTAATGACATATTTCGAATGCAGAGTTACTGTGAGAGAGAGCACAGATGCCAAGGTTGGAAATCAGCAATGGTTTAAAATCTGATACAGGAAAACAATGATGAATGTTTCTGTGTGACCTGTTGTGCACTGTCATCTGTTTCTCCCTCCAGTTAGACTACAGATATGTAAAAGTAGGTGGGATGGAGATAGCTGCATATTTAAAATTGACGATGCTAACTGTAAAAGCTTTTTAATGTCGCCTACCTTTATCCTGTTGAATTTCTTCGGCATGACTGTTGATCGCATGCCCTGCCTTTATGAACAGTACACAGTAGCTATGAGCCTTTCTAGAGATGACGATATTATGGAATCTTATATACCTTTAAAATACAGATGGAATGTATATTTATTGAATATCCTTGTTAATGCACACAACTGGATTATATAAACCGTACATTTTTACTCTTAATAAAAAAATAAGTAATCTTGACCTATAGTTTTTTTTCTGTGTGTGTGTGTGTGCATGTGCGCTGACTAACACTGATTAACACAAAGGATGTTGATTAAAGTGAAGTGGTTTACCTCAGAAGTTAATCCTGAGTGCATTACTACATTGTGGCTGTCAGTCTGAGTGTTGAGGCCTGGGGCAGGTATCCAGGATACTGCAGGAACATATTGGCTGAGTTTAGAAAGAAAAAGAGACTCCAGAGAGAGGATTCCCTTTGTGCATAAAGAGTAAGTTACCTGCTGCTGCGTTTGTTTCCTGTGTAGGATGCTACTGTGTTAGCTTACTACTCCCACAGACATCTTTAAGGTTACCTGATACTGTTATGTATGCTTCTATTGACAACTTCAGAGGACGATATATAAAAATATCTTTGCAACATTCCCCCACATCAAGTTGACACAGATCATGTCCACCAGCCACTCACCTGAGAGACGCAGAGAAACATGCACAACATGCATCTACACTTCATCTTGCACAGGCTCCATCCTGTGGCTCCACCCAGCCAGGTGAGGCCGGAAGTGTCCCCCAGAGACCACCTTGCCGGGCGCAACTGCTCCCGTGACCAAAGGTTCCACCTGACAGCTGCTTCCATTTAGTTTCTTCATAACACATCGAAAATACAATGAGGCGACATTCACCTCAGTTATCAATAAAAATACTGTTCAGCTCATAATGTAAAATACAATAAGCTGCAGCTCATTTTGGAGTGAGCCACACTTCTTTAAATATCATATTTATTTAAATTATTATATTACATTGCATCACTTTAAACCATATTACATTATATCACATTATATTATGTGATGGTCCGTTTCCTGCCAGGACTCAAGCAGCAGCGGACTGACGCAACCGTTGCCCTGGCAACCGATTAGGCGTCACCACTCTCGCCTGCGAATTGATGAGTTCGCAGATCTTCCGGTAGGAGAGGAGGAGAGAGGAGACAAGGAGTTAAGGAGATAAGGAGGCAGCCGCCGCTCCATGGAGCCTGGTTCATGAAACACAGCGACCCCGATGTCTGTCCCCGTGTGTCCGGGCCGCGTGTGTTCGTGCTGTAGCGGAGGAGCTGGACCAGAACAACACCGCTGCTAACGTTGCTAACGCTGCCCAGCGTCTGCAGCCAACATGGCAGAGGACGACAGCGACTGGGTCGTGGAGAGCATCGTGGGCTACCTGGGGAGCCCCGAGTGGGTCATCCCCGTCACGGATTTCATGGAAAACAAATGCACGGGTAAACAAAACGTACCTACTCGCCATGTTCACCCGAGCCGCACAGAAAAGCCTCCTGCACCGTTAGGTGGCTAAGCTAGCGCTAACTTGTGACTACGACGTATTTACATTTGTTAATGTCTAATAATTCAGCCGCTGGTCACTCAGTACTTTAATCAACAGGAAATGTGAATTTCAGGTCATATGTCTCCATATTTAGCCACAAAGCTCACAGGTCGCAGCACATGTAACGAGTCATATCACAGGAAGAGAAGATTACAAGTCAGGTAGAAACATTAGCCTTCAAACTGTGGAATAGTTTACAGAGAAGACCTCAGTGGAAATAACACTGATTATCTTTGAACAGATGCTTCAGATTTCTAACACTCGTTTGCTCTGAATGCTTCATGTTTGTTTTGTGTGAATATCTTCTGTACTTCATTTGTTTATGACGCGTGATGTGTTGACTCCATCCTTTTATTTGACTTATTTAACACAAGTGTTTTATGTGTGTGCTGTCTTGAGCTACTGTGTTTATCGTGTGAGTTCAGATACAAGAATGAAATTAAGCTAAGAGTTAATATCTTGTTGATATCAAGAGATAAGAAAATACAACACGTAAAACACTCACAGTATAACACGTGAACAGACACTGTCTAAAACAAGTATAAACATAAAATGTCATTATTAAAACGGTTTAATGTGTATTACAACATGCTAAAACTAAATAACTTATATGCGTTTATGTGCAGCTGTGTGAATGCCCTGACATTTACCGTCCCTCAGTGTGAAACACAACCATTACACTGATTCTTAATTCTGACACTGATGCTGATATAAAGCGAACACAACCACGTGTCATTTTCCGAACAGATTCTTTATACAGAATGAGTAGAAATTGAAGGCAAGTATTTGAACAAGAAGTGAGTTACGTGTGAGTTTTCCCATGAGTCTCGAGGAAAAGAAAATTAAACAAATGAACGTGTGTGTCATGTTGGAGGTGTTTTTCAAATGTCCCTCATGAGTATAGTCTCAATGATGAGCTACTAACATACGGATGTTCTTTATTTTTCAGTTTTTGATGACGAAGATGAAAATAAGTTATCATACACAGAAATTCATCAGCAGTATAAGAAGTTGGTGAGTACAAGTTGTTTGATTTGTCAAACATTGTAACTAGAAGTGAGCGTCTGTTTTCATGTATCGCTTTTTATTCGTAGGTGGAGAAGCTGTTAGAGAATTACATGCAGGAGGTTGGCATCAACGAGCAGCAGTTTCTGGATGCGTGCTCCTCTCCCTTTGCCAAGTCCAAAACTCTACAGGTATCCTTATTCTCATTCTTACCATTACTGGTTTCTGTTTCCCTCTTGGCAGATGTGTATTTTGCTAATCAATCAAAAAGTCTTATATGGCTAAACCAGACTATCAGAAATGGAGATTTGGATTTCATTGCAATCAGGACACTTGGATGTTGTTATTTAAAACTAAGAGAAATAGTTTAAATCTGCAAATCATATAAAAATCTTTTGATTAAGATTAATTTGATTAAAAAAGAGTTTTACACTCGTATTTAAAATGTTCAATTACATCTCATACTCCAACACGCAGTAAATTCAGTTTTTCTATTGTGATTTTGTCAGAAACAAATTGCGGAGCATGTCGGCGAGGGGTGGCATCTAGGACATAATGTATAATTCTGCTGCTCATGCTTTTCTCTGCCATGTCTTCATGCCATTAATTTATGTTTTGGGTGAAGTGATTTTTGATTCTCTTGTGTTTTTGTTTTCTTTGTTCAGTCGGTTTTCCAGCCAGTTCTGGCCACAGATGACTTCCAAATGTTCCGCTCGCTGATGGTTCAGAAGAATATGGAACTACAACTTCAAGCCCTCAGGGTCATTAAAGAGAGAAATGGTAGACACATACACATAACCACACGCACAAACAGGAAAACATGACTGATATAGCTGCAAGTAATATGTCTGTGTATGTCTGTGTGTAGGGGCGCTTCCAGAGTGTCTGACTGATGGTGTGGATGTGATGACAGAGTTGCAGCAGCAAGAGATGAAAATCCTGCAAGAGGTTCTCAAGTAAGTCACTGATCCGCTTTGTCTCATTCTGTCTTTCTGTCTCACTTTGACACACACATGCAGACACATACTTACTATAAACACCTTACTGGCTTTTATTTTCTTCCATATCCTGTAACCTAGATGAAGGACATTTGACAGGTTGAATCATTTCCATTATTCAAAGATTGAATCAAGGAATTTTATGAATTTTGTAAGATCTGAGTTTTCTCTCTTTTATACTGTTCTGATACATTTTCTTTAGGCGCCCATTGCCTGTATGCGCGCGGCTTTTCTTGATGCTCCTGCCGCTGCTCTCTAATGGGATTTTGCTGGTGGCAGCCTCACCAAGTAGAACACATTGAGTCTAATGGGGACGCAGTTAAGCTCCTTAGGGTCCAGCTAATTTAGGTTAGAGAGACTAACACTTAACAAGCAACTGAGAAAATAGTAATTTTAACCCTTTGTCTTACCACCAGACCCCCACAGGTTTTATCTGAAAATCAGCTCATAGAGACTTTGACACCAACACATTCTTTTTGTGTTTGCTTGTTGTTTTCTGAGATACGTTTTCTGAAAAGCTATGCTTTTGTGCAACTTTCCTACAAGCAGCCAATTGCACCATGACGGAATAGTTTTCCTTAGTCCCTGATTGCAACTTTCATCCCACCATGACACTCGTAAATGTGATGGATCTGAATCACAGCCAAGTCTGCAAGTTGATTTTCATTCTTCACTGACATGAAATCAAGTGGTTTGAAAAGTTGTTCTGACACTCATATTCTTTTAGAGCACAGGTTTAGAGCTGCTTCTGAAAAGACTCAAATGCAACTATACTTGTCACATATTTGTCTTGCTGTGAGAAAAGATCATAAAGCCACTGAGAATGTGAATCTTAAATTTTGTAATTTGTTTCATGAAACATTTGTCATATCGAGAAACAAGAGACCATCCTCTTCTCTCTTTTTTACCTGGTCTCTCCCTCTATCTGTACCGACTGGTAAATGCTTTACGGAAATCACCTCTAAGGCAATTAAAGCTGTTAAATAAATCAATTAAAGGATTCGTGTGTGGTGCCTGGGGTGAGCAAGCTGGGGCAAAGTGTGGCCCCTAAAGGAAATCCCTGACGTTCTTGTCTTATTCTAGTATCTAGTTCATTTGAGCCAAAGGTTAACTGAACAATGGAACCTGCTTAACATTAGATTTTCATGGTTATTATCACACCTGGGCTCCTAAACATACCCTGAAACAGTCTAAAGGGGCCCTTGAATGCTCTGTTGTGGAATATTTCTGTTTCAGCCTTTGCCAATGAAATGACTTTTGCTTGAAGTGATTTACATGTAACCCTGAAACAACTGTAAAGTTGAACAGCAGTGCAAAAAAGACTTTATTTTTCTCTCTTGCTACCCTGATCTCAGAAAATCAAAAGAGGAGTATGAAGAGCAAATGTCCAGGAGGCTGCTGTTCAAGGAAGGCGTGGGTTCCACCTCCAGCAACTGCTCTGATATGCCAATGGCAGAGAGCGACAGAGCCCAGAATACCACCTCTGCTCCCAGCCAGCAACGCACCAATGCCAAGGTAAGACATCATGAGCTGCGTTTGCCAAATCAGATCAAGATCTGTCGACCAGCCAAACTGCAGGACCTCATGTAAACCCTGTGATTCTGCACTGCACACAAAACCTTTCATTGGTTTTTGTGTGGTGCCTGATGCTACCAATGCAAAATTATATTGCCCTTTAAAGTCCCTTGTCATTTAATGTGACACTTTCTCTAATGCGGTATTCATTTCATGCTAAGGCTAAAGCTGAGGGGAACGGTGACAGCAGCAGCAGCAGTAATGGTCACCTCGCCCCACTAGTGAACGGAAACACTGCCACTGAATTTAATCGGGTAACTGTATCATCCATGTGGTGTCATTTAAATCAGTTTTCTGCCCAATCTGAGGATGCACTGATACCGTTTCACAGCGTGCAAATGTAAAACTGAGTATATTTGAAATGAAGTTCTTTTTATAAGATTTTCTTGGCCTGGTGCTGTGGCATCAGTATGACACTCAAACCCAAGGTATCAGTGCATCCTGTGGACAGGAAACTGTTTGATAGCCTCTGTAGTAAGTTGGTTATGTAGTAGCTTTGTAGTATGAAAGCCTCTAAATTAGGTTACACGTAATGAATAAATGGATTAAAACTGTTTGCTGCAGGGGGACTGGAACATAATGTATCTTACCTGCTGTTAAAGCAGACAGAGAATCAGGTCAGTTTGAGAGGTCCAACATCTGAGGACTGTAGATTATGTTTTCTATTTTACAGCATTAGTATTTTTGCAGTAGTGGGCTAAATGTAATTCAAAGTTTTTTGTCATAGGTGCAACATGTAGTAACGCCTATGGATCCTTGTGTCCAGGTCAACGGCAACCCTGTCAGAAAAGACGAGAGGAAGACAACTGACCCCGGAGGTGGAGATGAAAAAGGTTCAGCCAAGGGCAGGTCCAAACTCATACCAGGTAACTCAAAAAAAAGGTTAACTCCTAAAACGTCTTCTTTTGTTTTATTAAAAGTCCCCACCACACTTAACTGGTTTACTACTTTTATTTTTATCTTGGTAAAACCTAGATTTAATTGACATTACAGTTTTCAAAACCTCTGAAGGAAAGTGTGGCTTAAAGGCATTAACTTATTTTAACTGTGATGTCATTTACTGACCAACCTGAGAGAGTTAAAAGTTACCAAACTAATTTAAAACCTGTGTGTTCAGATTGTAGCAGTAACAGTGTGGAGTCCAGAGTCCTTCCAGCAGTGAGAGCTCCAGTAAAGTCTGGCGAGCCCTCCGTCAGCAGCCTTCCTCGGACCACAGAGCAGAGCAGCAGCAGGAGCCAGACTGCAGCCGAAACGTGTCTGGAGGAGGCACATAGGGAGGCTGGCTTCTCTAAGCCATTTACTGTGAGTCTGTGAGCCTGTGCACCATCTGTGAGGTGCAGTGTGTAACATGTCATTCATTTTGTGAGTGTTACACGTGTTCAAGTCCTGCACTGAACTCTGGAGATCTCCAGGAGTTTCTCCAGAGGATGCGTGTGTGAGAATGGGAATGTCAGAGTGACTTCCTCCACCTGGCCTCCGAGTATAAAGTCCGCAGAAAGTCTGAAGTAGCCGATGAGCGAGCTGCAGAATTCACTGTGAGCAAGTTTTTGTGGGGGGGTGGGGGCGGGTTGATGAAGCTTCTAACGAGCGACAACTTAAGGAAAACAAATATCTTCACATTAAAAGGCCGAACCACAAGAAGAATACACCAACCAAGAATCTGTGTCTGTAAACAAAATCACATGATCTCTGCAGCAGAGATATGTCACATCCTGCCTCCTCCTGCAGCACCACCCCCTCACCTGAACCCTGCAGAGAATTTGTTACTGTTGTGATTGTGTCTGAGCAGAGAACTTCCTGCTGAAGTTTTCTTGTGTGAAAGGCAAACTAGACCCAATATTCCAGAGATCCTCCACAGGACATGTCTTAAAATGGCTTAAATGAGCTTAAAGCAGCACTTTGCAACTTCTTTAACATTAAACATTCAGTTCCTCTTCAACAGAGTTTGATGGTTGACTGCGTAGAATTCCACACGCTTGCGTATGGATGCTCTAAGTCGTTGGTGCACTTGTACCCTCTTCCCTGCAGGAGTTGTCAGCGTCACAGCAGGAGCAGCTCCAGCAGAGGGCAGCATATCTGTGTCAGCAGCGAGACAAGCTGCACGCGCTGAAGAAAGAGCAGCAGAAAACCAAGCAGACCACCACATCAGAGCAGGCACCCACACCTGCACCCACACCAGCACCCACCACCACCCCGGTAAATACAGCCCGTTCCTTCTGTTTACCTCCTTCCACAAAAAAATTCACATTTTCTCCTCTAGGTGTCTCTCATGTTATCGTAATGAACCATATGCTGCAACAATGGATTTTTCTTCACATCTAAACTAACCTCTCTTTGGAACAGTGTGCTGAATTATCCTTAATAATTTGAAGCCACTGTATTTTGTATAATTTTGTTTTCCTGGAGACATTTGATGATAAAGGGAAACAAATACAAAATAATATTATCCATCCAATGTGTGAGGGCTCTTTCATGCTGTAGCTTTAACATTTAATTTGACACTGGCTGTCAGTTGTGCCTCAGTTATCACATTCTAATGAGATTGTTCCAGGAGCTAACAATTTACATAAATGTAGTAGAAATTTAAATCATCCTAGTTTCATATTTTTTACTTTAAGTTCTCATTCTATTGTTGATTTTACCCAGTTTGCGACATTTTTCTCCTTATTTCTCTTTTTCTTCCTTCTGACTCATTTATTTATTTATTCCTGTATTCCTGTTCTTCACTTCCCTCCGTCTGTGTCTGGCCTGTCAGGAGGCAGTGGGGCAGTCCCAGAGGAATGGGGCCTGTACCCCTCCTCTTCCTCCGCCTACTCCTGCACAGCACTCTGCTAACTCGTCCAGACAGAAGGTGATCCGTCAGCTGCGTCTGCCGGACGTGAACACGTGTAGTCGTTCATGGCTGATGTGTTGTGTGTGTGTGTGTATGGTTCCTTCTTCCCTTTGTTCCTATTGTCCTCAGAAAACCTCACCTAAAGTCCTCCATCACCATTTCTCAAGCACGGAGAAGGACTTGTTTGCAGTCTGTGCTCTTTTCACTTGGCTTAAAAGTTCAATTTAAGCCCCAAAGTGAAGAGAATGAAGTTTCATTTACTGAAATTACTAACCCCACCAAGAAAAGACATTGGGTACGATGAGGGTGTTAAAATGAAACTGAGAATTTTAGGTGTGTGTGGCATAGCTACATTTTCAAACCCAGCTCGTTTCATATACTTCTCCAGTTTGTACACATTTTAGTAACCTTCTCGCTGCTTTTTCTACCCTTCAACATTTAGTTTTAAGCTGTGCTGGTTATTTATTATATCATCAGAAAGGGTGTTAACCCGTCTGCCTGGTCTTTTCACACAGGAAATATCTGCTGAGGAGAAGAAGAAGCTCCAGAAGAGAAAACATCTTGCCGACAAGCTGAAAGAGGAAGTGATAAAGAAATAACTTCCCACTCCAACTGTACTCCAAGGATCAAACACTTTGCAACCTTCGCTTTACCTCCGTCAGTCAGATAATTCACTCTAAACAACACATTTCAAGATATTTCTGAAAGAGACTTCCAGAGTATGAGATCTTCCCTTCCCTGAGCTTTTCTCCGGGCAGTCTACAGAGGAAACCTCCGCTCATACCAGGCCACACAAGTATTATACAATTGGTTAATTACAAATGTTTGACCAAGAGAGTTCAGAGAATATCACACACACACCGACTCAGTCGATGTTACCAGTGGAGAAGTCAGATTACTCTTATTTGACTTCTACTTTACTCGATGTACGAGGCCTGTGTCCAACACATCACTCCTCATTCAGCACAGAGGACGACATGAAATGTGTTCTGTTCAAACTGAATTGCAAAATTTACCCACTACGTAATGTCCTCAAAACTATAATTGTATGCATTTGTCAAACGGGCGAGTTAATGTGCGAGAGGACTTCATTGAGAGTCCAGGGTCGAGGCGATGGTAGCATTAGCCACCACAGGTGTACAGTCTTGTTTCCCACTGTCGTTAGCTTCCCCACTGGGAACAGTCATATAGCTGAGAGCACAGTAGCAGCTCAGCCTGGTCAGAGGGCACCGTGCACAGTGTCACAATGAGCACACCGCCGCGTGTTCTTTAAGGGGCCAAGAGAACGGCGCCACGCTTTCTACTAGGAACGCCGTAATCTGCAGTCTTCACTTTAAGCAATCATGATGCAGTTTCTATGTAACGTTATCAGGTATGCTGTTTAATAAATCACATTTTATAGAAATAACCTCGACTCCAGATTTTGAATTTATAGAGACTGAAGCTACTCTGTTGTAATGAGGTTGTTTTTTCATCTTTGTGGGAGAAGCCAATACATTTTGGTGCGAATCTGGATCCAGGAATTTTTCTTAATTTTGCCCGAGGGCGTTCAACATTTTGAAAAAAACAAAATCAGACATTTAGGGGACTGATATGTTGAGTGAACGAAATTTGGTGCAGATCCAAATAAAAATGTAGTTGTTTATTTAAACGTGGTTTCATAAGGGGACAGTTGTGCCTTGGTGGATCTGTGAACCTTAAGTTACTCTTGTGTTTGTAAATGGTGTTGGCAGCTTTTGGTCTCAGAACTATACCTGAAACATTTTCCTAACTTACCTATATATTGTGTAGGTTACCTAAAAAAATTTAATTAAAGAATATTGGCAATATCCTAAGAAGACATGGGATTAAATGTATTCAGTTAAATTTGTGAGATTTGATCAGATACAAACATTTTGCCTCAAAATGAACATTTGAGAATCATTTAGAAAATGTAGCTCCAATGGCCAAATCGTGTCTAAAACAAAGCTCAATTCACAATTTCAGTGTCAGGGTCACATTTAATTTCAAAACTTATCAAATTCATACAAATGTTCAATAATGGTAGTAAATGCACTTAATACAAGTTCATCAAGGGAGCATGAACAGTCATATTGTTGGGCAACATGAACAGACAGGAGGAAAGAATTCACTGCTCACCTAAACGCACACTGGGAATAATCTTTTTACTCTGGGTTGTAGATTTAAGTTTGTGATCCAGCAGTTTTATCAAGACTGATTCCTCTCAGCAGCCTCTCAGCAAAAAGATATTCGACGCAAGAAATGCTTTTGACCCGACACTGAAATGCCTCATCGCCCTCCGGCTTTGTCAAACCCATATCTGAAAGGTGTCGGGAAAATTCTCCTCCTGAAGGACAGCTTGACTCTAACGCTGCATGGCATCGACTCTGGAGTTGAATCATCTTAATCATAACTAATAAAAACAGCTCATCCAGTCATGGAGTTTGGCGTAAAATTGTAAAATAAGAAGTTATTTTAATGTGCAGTGGTTTTTGTGGACAGGCCAAAGGAAGACAAACTGTGGAACTTAAATGAAAACTTGGATTGACCTGGACCTGAAAATTGTCGTCCTTCAAACTTGGATAAAAATCGCTCTTAACACACCAGAACCATCTCAGTGAAAGATGAGAAATGTGTGCGTCACAACGAGGCCGCTAAATTCTTCAATCCACTTAAAATACAAAATGTCAGACATCCTCGAAATGTTGGCTGCAAAAATGACTTTACTGCAGTTTAATACGTTATTTTTAAAACCAGCATTTTACATTGAATCAAATGTACTGGACTGAAAGGGCGAACAGTGACTCCACCTTTTTGTGCGACGACAACAAAAAAAATACACAGGTCAGGTAGGAGTCTCTCTCCCCTTTCAAAATCAGATCTAGGGCAAATGATTAAAAAGAAAAAAAAACATCTGTACAGTACTGTTTAACAAAGTCATGAAATACAGGATCTCTGGCTAACGCAGTCCTGTATGCGAGACGCTGTGTTGTGTTCGGTGTGTGGGTGTGTGTGCCGTGGCCAAACAGACACCATGGCTTCTGAAGGTCTGAGTCCTGCTCCTCTGGGTCCGTTTTCATCCTGGTACATTTTTTTGTCGTTTGTTCCCTCCACTGTCTCTCCGTGTTTTGTTTCTTCAGTGTTGCCTGGATCCTTCTTGTCCCCAACAAGAGTGAATAGTTCTGTGGCAGGGGCGGCGCACACACTGCTTCCGCCAGTCAAGCTTTCTATAACTATAACGGCTAGTCCTGCTAGCCTGACTGGCCTCCTGAACAGTTCGCACACTGGCTGCTTGTGTTCTGGCTTCCTCTGTCTCTAGAGCTCACCGGTTCGGGTTCGAGAATGATGGAAGGGAGAGTTCAAATGAGGACGCACGCGTGAGGAGGGTTCCTGTGGGGTTGGTGTACTACCGCAGCTTCCTTGCCACTGTTGCTATAGCAACAGTGCAGAGTTGGGAACCGCCTTGGCACTGTGTCTCCCCCCCCCCCGCAGCCTCTCTGGTCAATGCGTAGGATGGTGGATTAGAAGGAGAAAGAAAGAAGTAGTTCAGAGAGAGGTGTGGACTGGGAGAACAGGGGAGTGTGGTGAAACAGAGGAGAAGTCAGGAGGAAGAAACAAGGTTTCAGGATCTCCTAGTGGAGGCTGTTGGTAAAAAGGAAGAGGTATAACTGACGGGCTTAAGGAACAGAGGGATCTGTCTTTGTTTCCAGTGAAGGAGAAACTCTCCATCTCCTCCCGCTGAGGAGGAAGAGGAGCAGAAATAGGGAGGGACTGGGTGAGGTGAGAGCTCATCTTTGCCCGTCTCCTCAGTGAGACTGACGGGTGGCGCAGGCAGGCCGAGGACCAATGAGACGACCAAAGGAGGGAAGATGGGAGGGACTCTGTGTCCACCCACCACAACCAAACAGAGGACTATTAGCCTTAAGAGCTCAGACGGGGCCGCTTCCTCGGAGACTGCTCTTCCTCCTCATCTTCTTCCTCGTCATCCTCATCGTCTGGGTAGTCAACCAGACCAACCAGAGCGGTCTGAGAGAAACAACAAAAAGACTCTTTAAGAGCTTGATGAAGGTATTTAGGTAGTAGTAGTAGTAGTAGTAGTAGAGACCACTGTTCCAAGTTGTTGTAGTTTTCTTACAGCGCATTAATACCTGTATGGTAGAAACACCTTTCTTACCTTTAGTGTCTTTTTTAAATCTTTTGTGAATGTAAAAGGTCTGGCAGTAAAGAGAGCTGCTCCAAAAACACAACATTGCGATGCCCTACACCTGCGTAAAATATAATATGAGCACAGTAATGTCTCATTTCACTAACTACTCTAGTGTGTACAGATGCATTACCTTAACTACTGGAGTGGCAGGAAGAGCAACTGTTTTGACAGACGAAGTTGAACTGTTGTTTGGAGTGACGGGTGGTGGTGAAGGTGGGATCACAGCAGCTTTCCCGTTGTTGTTGGCACCATTAGCTCCGTTGGCAGCACCTGCAGGAACAGACAGTGTGAACATCAGAAATGTACAAATGTGAGGAGAGTTTAAAAGATGATAAATACAGTAATACCAGTGAAACGTACCTTTTTTGGCTTCCATGTATTTGCCGTAACTGTCTGAGAAGTCATCCTCCATCCTCTTCTCCACGGCCTCTCCATCGTCATCATCGTCGTCGTCATTGAACCACAACTCTTCATCCTCGTCCAACGACCGTGCATCTCTGCGATATCTATATAAGAAGAAATTGTTTAATGAAGTCTGGTTGTCTACAGAAAAGCATGTTGGAATGTTAGATAACTGCTAATCTGACTAAGCCTGGATACATGGACCTCTTCCTCTTGTTCAGACAGATTTCCATCTGTCCCGAGAAATGTTGGGCCAATCACAACCATTTGTCTAAAATACGTCACTGACAACTTTCAACAAATACATATTTTCATGGCCCTGGGCGACGTCACACGTTTCGTAGCTCTGATTGATTGTACGTAAATCCAATTTTTGGCCAGTGACAGTTGATCAGGGCCTTTGAAAAGTATGTTTTTGGTGATGCCAGCGGAGATTTGACTTTGTGTCCAATCCATCTACTGACCTGTTGAGCCTCTGACTCAGCCGATCTTTTTCCTGCTCATATCGACCTTTCAAGCCTTTGAAAGTCTGGACGTACTCTATGGATTCGAGAGCTTTGTAGAAATTATCCACAATGTGAGCTATGAGAGATTTGATGTCCTCCTGGAAAGAGAAGAGATGGTAGAGATCACAAACAACCCACTGTCGGTGCCATGTTCAAACACGATGCAGAGCAAAACATCGTTCATCGGGGATTTGTGTGTTTGCTCACCACTTTAATGAACTCAAAGAGCTCTATGATGGCTGAGTTGAGGAGGTTGTATCGGGTGCCGTTGTCCAGCAGGGCATTAATGACAGGCTCAAACAGGTTCCCTTTGATGATGTAGCGGTTGTAGTACTCATCCTTCAGACCTATGATCCTGCGCATGAAACGCAGGGCACCTTGAACAAAAACAGCAGAAACCTTTGTAAAGTGAAGCCATGCTTGTATTTAACACAGCACAAAAATAAGATGTCGTCGATGATGTGAGGTTGAATGCACAGCTGAAAATAATGTCTGTTTACGACTGAGAACTTTTAGAAGCAGCAGAAAGGTGTGTGCACTCACAAAGAGCGAGGAAGGTGTGCTTTGAGTTCATAAGCACCAGCACTCTCCTGAGAAGGTCTTTGTTCATGATGTATGTCTTGATGTGATAGGTGTGGTGCTCCACGCAGAAGGTGAGAAGCTCCAGGATCAGAGCCAGCAGCTGAGCTGTCTGGAAGTTGTCTACACAAAAACAACAAGGCTACTTTACACCAGAACATTACAGATACACACCCCCATGCAGAAAGGACATGCACTTATGTTCCACAGTTTACATTAAATTATACTTTTTTTTTGTATTCAAGCTATATATATTGTTATTTATAATAAAGTTTATCCCAGATTTTTCTATATTCAAGTCACCAATCTCAAACTTTTGCTCTGTCTGCAATTTTTCCAAAATTCCCATTACACACACTAAACAATAACGTCAAAAATTCATATTTGTGTTATTCAATTCATTCAGTGAATAATCATAGAAAATGCTATTACATCTCACTATCCAGCTTTAATAAACACACCCTCTCATAATAGCTAGAAACTCTGAAACTGTTTATTTGATGTACATCACAAACAACCTAATTTGAGTCTGTTTTTGATGAGTGCCGCTGATAAAACTGATGAGACCAAACTGAAATGCTACCATCTGACGAATAAGTTCCAGTCAACTCTGACATGGTTCATGGTTGATTTTAAGATAATTAACACTCACCTGGACAGACTGGGTTGATCTTCGTAGATCCCTCCTGCAGATCTGAAAAACACAGACAGAATAGTCATCAAATTCTCTATTGTCTTATTCCAAAACATTCCAGTTTATTTTAACTTGCTGTCCAAATTACCTTTTGAGTTTTTGTCATGTGCAGTGTTGGCCAGCAGAGGAGCGGTGAGGACATGCATGCAGTACTTGTAGAAGAAGCTCAGAAATTCAGTCTTTTCCGTTTTCTAAAAGGAAAAGGGACAAGAAACGTGTTGATGTTGTGCTGTTAGGCAGAGCAAATGAGGTATACAGTTTAAACAGCTGGCAACAATGTGTTTTGGAGGCACTGAGTTTTTCAACAGGAGAATACATTTGACAGTTACCCTACAAAGATTTGTCAGTAATAGTCTTTGTGTGCTTACTTCAGTTTGATAGGCATTCAACAAATAATCCTGACCATACTCTTCATACATATTTTTATAACTAATCTACATTAGAAGTTGCGTGCACATGTGCAAGTTTTACATTTGTGGATGCAAGCATGTTCTCGGGGTCGATGAGCGTCCTGAGCAGACCCATCAGCTGGACAGCCCCTCCTAACTCAGGGTCAGAGTCACAGATCATCTGCTTGATGACAACATTTATCAGCAGAACGTCCTAGAAAAACACACAGAAGATTCAGTCAAGATAATGTAGTTTTGTTACAATGGTGTATTCAGATTACAACACAAATTCAACAAAAACGTTTGATGACACTGTAAAATAAAATGTCTCCTTGAGGGATTAATAAAGTATCTCTCTATGCAAATTTAAGCTCGCTGGAAGGACACTCATTTCACAGAATGGTGATTCCATGTCAAACCACCATTAGCCTATAAATAATGTTATTATACCCAACAACTAGTGCGAATCTGCTGCCTTGTATCTTCTTTGGTTTGAGGTATGTAATCCAGCTTTGACCAAACAACTCCACTGAATCGAAAAAGTACCAGTGAAGTAAAGATGCTTACATCATCTGTCTGCTGTGGTTCCTGCATGACAAACTCTCTGACCATGGAGGGGCTGAATTCCACCAGGTACGAGAAGATGTCTGTCGCTGCTGCTCTCACCTGCAGGTCATCCATTCCCTGAGCAGAAGAATGAATGGTGAGAGAAACATTCCAACAGTTTTTTACCCAACTGTGTAAATATCAAATATATACATACATATATATTTTCCTATAACATACCATGACTATTTCTAGAGCAGGTAAGATGCCCAGATTTGCCAGAGTTTTGAAGAAGGCGTCTCTGTTTTGTGGCTGCAACGTTTGGGAAAAAGCACAGAATTCCTTGACAAAATTCACCTGAAGACAAAGAAAGGAGAAGACAGTAATTTAGCATTTAATACATCAATGCAGATGATATTTTTTTCTAATTTCGTTATATATTAAAACACGGTCAAACATTAACATTTTACAAAATTTCATTGCAACAACTGACCAAGAGATTTTTGACTTACAAGCTCTCTCCTTTTACTGTCGTCCGTGGCTTCATCCGTGAGCTGTGCAAAGACCTCTGTTAGGAACTTCTCATCTTCCTAAGATACAGGAAAAACAAGTTTTGAACATCAAGACATCCAAAAAAAGGACATTTTTAATATACAAGGAAAATGAAGGATGCCAAATAACACCCCAAAACAGTATGCATTTAATTTTTTGAGGCAACGGGAATTAAAAACAACACAGAAAACCATGCTTCTTAGAGAGAGCAACTTCACTTCTTGTTAGTCTTGAAACAATAACTGGATGTGATCTGTCTGGGATGTGGAATAATTGGATGCTAATGCATAGTTAACATCATGATAATGAACAAACTGAAAAATACTTGGGTAATAAAATAGACGTGATGTTTAGTATTTTCTCATTTTAATGGTCAGATCATCACAGTACAAAAGATAATGACATCTCTCACTAAGCAGCCGTAAATCATGCGTATAAAAACCCAAATTCTGATAGAAAATCAGATATTAATTTATCATAGTGTTATTGTCTTGATCTACAGGGAGGGTCTGTACTCCGGCATTAGTCAAACAGATTTCAGTCGTTGGCAGCACAGTGGAAAATGAGGTACAAGTTAAAATACACCATAGATTCATCAAAATATTGTTAATGCAGAAGTGTTCAACTTCAAACCATTAGATGAGGGTTTGTTGATGGATGAATCCTTACCTGCAACATACTGACAATCTCCACCTTGTTGAAGAAGATGAAGGAGTTGAGTGTGGACATGAAGTTCTCCTCAAAAACGGATGGCGTGGGCAGAATGATGTCCTGGATGTACTGCACCCGGTAGGTCTGGTGGATCTTCTGTCGCAGCTCTGAGTCCGTGATAGGGATCACCTCCTTAAACTTTGCCGTCTTGGTCAAAAACTCCCGGTGGCGTTTAGGCTGAACCAGCGCTGGGTCATACTCAAGGCAGCCGACCACATCCATGATACAATCGTCAGAGAACATCACCTCAAAGAGGGCCGCTTTGTTGAGGAACAAGACACCCCGGACAATCTCATAAAGGTGATGTAGGCCCTCTCTGTTGTCCAGGTCCTCACATACTCTGAAGAGTCCCAGGAGTTTCTTGATGTAGCCCTCGCTCATCAGGGCCAAGGCGAGTTTCTCCCTCCGGATGGGTGAAGAGAGGACAGACGTAACCAGGTCAGCTATCTCCTCCAGTCGGCTTAGTTCGCATGGAGGGAGCTCCACCAGGTGGCTCGTCTCTGGGATCTCCTCAAAACGTTCCTCTTCTGACTCATCAATGGGATCCTGGGTGATGTCCAGGGCAGGGTCCTTGCCTTGAACCTGAGCATTAGAAAATTGGTAAAATAAAATGTATTAAACAAGGAGCATTAATGTAGAACCTCCTGCTAAAACAGAGTTGTTCTTACCTGACAAATCTTCTCCCATATCTCATCACAGCCAGCCTTCTCTTGGAAACTTAGGGCAAGGTCATAGTTATCTGCTTCTGACCAGACAATTAGCGTGTCCTGGAAAAAAGAGGAAACATCAGATTGTACACAATATGCTTATCAGCATAATCACAGGATACACTGCAGTATCCTCGCCTGCACTCTCACATGGAGGTTACATGCTCAAAACCAACACAAAGTGACACAAGCTCTTATTGTGCACACCTCAAGTCCTTCAAAACACAGAATGAGACCACTTTTACAACAAGATGATAAGATTTGCCTAAGATCAGTTGTGTTCAACTATGTGACTTGTTTAGTCAACATTTTTCTGTAAATACTAACTACTTCCCAACAAGATTCCATTCAGATAGTGAATTTCCACTGTCTGCACTTTATCATTGGACCAGTAACAGTTCAGCAACAAGTCTACATGTTGAAACTATTAATAAAAAACGAAATGAATTGAACATAACAGAGAATTTTGATCCAACAGTTGTGCATGTGAATGCTTCTTTGGCCCACGGGGACTCAGATGATCTGTGTTACCTGTTGTTTCTGATATGCAGTGTTCGGGCTTATCTTCGACTCCAACAGTAGAGATCCTAAAACACAGAGATATGGGTACAATTACTTTACAGTTTGTTTAACTTTAACAGTTCTTTGAGGTAAAGGTCAATTCATGGTAACAGAGTAAATCTCGCGAAGTACACAGAAAATACCAGTGAGGCAGAAAAATGAAATTAACTTTACAATCGAGGAGAGTAATACCCCCATCAGCGGAGTCTAGAATTATATATTTTCTGGGGTCTCTGTATGAACACAGGACGGTTTACTATCCAGAGCAATAACAAGTTGGTGCGTTACAATCGAGACTTTGAGGCCCCACATGCTACTGAGATCCTGTAGCCTGCTCCACTAACGAGCTTGCTAGCACGAGCTAAACGGCTAATTAGAGGCTATTAGCTTCGGGAGAGGCTGACGCCGATACGTTAAATAATCTAAAAGTGTTTGCTCACAACGCTACAGCACATTTAAAAAACAAACCCCAAGAAGTTGACCAAAGTGAATACAAGGGGAATTCTGGTCGAGCTAGCATGCTAACATTAGCCAACGTAACGTCAACGCGGCTATGCTAACAGGGAACTTACCGTCTGATTCGGCCCGAACTAACAACGAAATACCCTTTAGTCGCTCAACGAATGTGGACGAGACGTGGCCGGTGCCCCGGTCATCCCACTGCCGGTCTTCGTTTAGCGTGTACACTTTCACCCGCCGCCGAGTGTCCGACATGGTTAGCCGAGTCGGAGCTAGCAGGCTAGCTAGGCTGCTAACAAGCTATCACCTCACCCCGTCTGTTAGTGTTTTCCTACCCGCGACCTGTGAACGGTGTTTCCCGCATGTTACGGTTCACAGCAGCGGTGAAATGAACCTGTGGCTGTTTCATAAACGCATAACGCGCCCGACGTGAGGCGGCTCGACCGGAGGCTTCTTCTCCGAGTGTGAATTCGCGCAGAGCACAACAACTCCTGCGGCCTCCTCGCTAACGTCCACACTCCGCCATCTTGTAATCCGATCTTGTGTTCTTTTTCTTCCTCGACGTCAATCAAGCGCTGCGGGGTCTCCGCCCCCGAGCGTGACCAGCCAATGGGAGAGCCGCAGCGTCGCGGGCTCAACGCGCCACCCATAGGCGAAAGGTGGTAAGTGCAGCGGTCCCCTGCAGATGTGAGAGGAGGCAGATGCTGTTTCTTTAAGCTGTTTGTTTTTATTACGGCAGATCTTAACGTGTCGGAGTTATACTACTTAACTACTCACTCATTAATAAAGATAATGCACGTTTATTTGTAAAGAACCGTTCATGCACACGCACACAGATTCAAGTCGCTGCACAGGGACATCAGAGGACCACACAGGCTAAATTAAAGGAGAAGATAAAATATGAATTGATCCACACACTGAGGAAATTCATCACTTAAAGGGATAGTTCACTGTAAAATAAAAATGCACTCATTATCGACTCACCACTATGCCGATGGAGGGGTGGGTGAAGTGTTTGAGTACACAAAACACATCTGGAGTCTCAGGGGTAAAATATGTGTTGCAGCCAAATCCAATACAATTAAAGTAAATGGTGATCAGTCTTCAAACGTAAAAAAACAACAGAAAGAAAAAATAAAATACCTCCATACTGCTGCTGCGATGTCATCCAAGTTTCTGTAAGCTCTGACATTCAAATTTGATTTGAATACGGTCATTTACACAATGTTTTTCGCCTGAATGTCCTCTGTGATCCTCGTCAGCGAGTTCTCGTTTGCAAGTTCCGACTGATGTCTTCACGTGGCTCTTGGGCAAAAGCATAGAGGAACGCAAATGTGAATGAGGCTCCAAAAAGAGGATCACAGCTCTAACCTGATGACCTTTTGACATGGTTGTATTGGGCCAGAATTACATCTGGTTCCTCATGTGTGCATGCAAAATTTTGCAAGGAAGTGACAGTGAAGCTTAACACAACAACCACTAAGTGTTTTATTTACATATATTATTAACAAAGCAGAATAAAGAGAGAATATTAAAAAAAGAAAAAAAAAAAGAAGAATTGAGACGTTTATCTCAATTTGCTTGTGAGTTCTTTACAGCAAGATGCATCAATATCACACAGCCAAATAAAACCATTGTTAGATTGTTGTAGATCTGTGGATAAAAGTTGCAACATGACAGTGAAATCTAAAAGAAAATGAACCCTTCACTTGGTGCTGTTGATGCTGACTGATCATACTATGTCGCACACTCATTGAAGCAGGACACTACGATGATGTTGTTTCAGGAGCAGTTTTATCACGTCCATACCCACAACAACTGGGTAACTTTCTTTATGAACAACGCTGGTTCAGTCTGTGAGAAGATTGGATGATCTTGGTTTGGCTGATTTCTCACCAGGGCCATTTTGTAGAAATATCAGAATCAGAGGTTTTTCTTATTTTCGTCTTTCACAGAAGTCAGTCTCTTCTGTTGACGTGTCATGAATCTGTGCCAGTCGTTTGGCTGCCGTTTGAACCCATGGAGATGCTCTGTTTCTCACTTATTGTCTTGACAATGGTTGCAGCAGGAGACTGGAGCACCTTGCGGGAAAGTCTCATTCTACCGTCCGTCGGGTCACGTCCAAAGTACTTGACCTGATGACAGAACTCCAGTTAGAGGCGAGCAGAGAAGAAAAGAGAGGAAACTACTTTTGACAATGCATTTTGCAGTTATGGACACATACCTGTATCTGCTGTCCCACCTCTAAACCTAAAGCACTTGGGTGTTTGATCTAAAACAAAAAAATACAAACAATGACCTCAGAAACGGAAACATAGACACACAGCATGCAGAGGCAAATTCACCAACCCGTTTGTGGTCCAGTTGTGAGTTGTGCAGCAGGACGGCGCTCATGTTGGGATAAAGTTTCACCATCACACCAATGTCTCTGTAGCAGGGGAGGAAAACAACTTAGGACTTGTGTCTAAGGTTCTGATGTGTTAAGTGAGAACTGATGACAGTCAAAAACACAATGTGTTCGTTTACCTTATTTCGGTGATTGTGCCGGTGTAGATGGCACCAAACTCCAGCTGCTGTTCCTGCTGCAAAACAAAAAAACATAAATGTTATGTTATAACTTATGTTGATGAGTCCAAGCAGACAGACAGAGACTTCTGGAATTATTAGAAAGATACTTACATCATCTTTGCAGATCTCACTGATGAAGTCTTGAGCTTCGTTCATGGCTCCGGGTGATGGAGCGAACACGGAGAAAGTCTCCTCATCCATCTGACTTATTGTCACACCTTCAGGAGAAAAACCAAAAAGTTTCTACATTCTGTTTGTGTAGGAGAAACACTTGTGATTCTTCTTCAGTGCCACTTCATCAACAAAGACAACACAGTCCTAGTGGGTTCACTTAAATTAGCTCTTTAGATACATGAGTATTACCTGTTTGAGCTTGTAATCTGCGAAGGTTGTAGCCTCCGGGACCAACAAAGCGAGCTCGTCTAGAAACCGGCACCCGGACAGTTTCTGGAGGCAAAATAATTCTCACATCAGAACACAATAATTATACATTTATATATAATCAAACACAACACCTACCGATAACAGGTCCGTTCTCTTTCCTTGTCCCTCTAGGTTTGACTATACATTTGTTCATGATGCCCAAGATTTCCCTCTTTGCCACTGAAACATAACAACATACAAACAAAGGCTGTCACACACACTCATTTCAGTCTTGAGTGTAAAATGGTGAGTTTCAGAGTCAGTCACCAGTATGAACAATATTACCTGTGGCCTGTTGGATCGCCTCCATCACCAACTTCAGAGGCAAACCTGGTATCTTCACATCAGCCTGGAGGACAAATCATTCAAAATGGGCCACGGTCAATGTTTTCATTACTTTTTAGGTGAATTTATTCCATTTTTATTCTGAGAGAAGTTGTCAGATCTAGCACCTGTAAAGCAGTGATGCCCTTGTTTGTTCCTGCCAGTTTGAAGTCCATGTCTCCAAGGTAATCCTCTATTCCCTGTTGAGAAAATACAAATAAGTTCTCATTCAACATCTCCAGTATAATCAAACAAGAACACTGGCTACAAGTTATTGTCAGTGGCGATTGGTCACACACTAGCTACAGTAGTGCAGTATCTACCAGAATATCAGTGATTAATCTGTAGTCTTGGATCTCAGTGGGTTTCTCTACGTTGGCCTTGGAGATGAGGCCGACAGCTACACCTGCCACAGCAGAGGAGATGGGAACACCTGGGAGACACAAACACAGACATATGAGCTACATGCTATTACAACACTGCACTTTATTAACTAAACAGCAAAATCTGTGTGTTCTGTGTCTGTTTGATTCGACCTGATTAACGAGAAACCGTCATAAGGCCTCTCAGGGTGATCATATGAATATTCCTTGCAGTTTAATGCTGAATAAAAAATGCAATTCCTAAGGTCTATGACAAAGAAATGGAAACAGGCTTGATATTTTACAGTTTGACAATAAACTTATAAACAACCAATATAGAATTAAGTAAATAAATCATTGATTTTACATAAAATGTAAACATAAATGCAAGTTACAAAACATTGGTTGATACAAATGGTCAACTGATATATTGGTTGGACATAGAAACAAATGTATCCTTTTTAAAATTCTACATATAATTGATATCATTAACAGCATAAGAGACATTTGTGGTACCTGCATCCATCAGTGCAAGGCTGCCAGCACACGCTGAAGCCATCGAGGACGATCCTGAGAGGAGACACAGAGAGGGAGAAAAAAAGCGATTCTCACATTCCTGTCTGAGATATTTAGCCAGACAATGGTCACATTTCCTGTGACACATATAAAAGTGTCACCACACTCACCGTTTGACTCTAACACCTCAGCAGTGAGCCTGATAGTGAATGGGAAGTCTTTAGGAATGACTGGTCTCAGAGCCTTCTCAGCCAGGGCCCCTGAGAACCATCAAGAACAAATACATTCAAATCCTTCTAAACACGGTCTCTGTATTCAAGAGTCTTTACAGATGCTGAATACCAGTCAAAGTCAATCTGAATACAAACCATGACCGAGCTCTCTCCTGTTGATGCCGCCCATCTTTCCAATTTCATTGGTTGCATATGGAGGAAACTGAAATTCAAGAAAATATAGTTTTTTGTGTTGAAAGGAAACAGAGTCATATCTAATAATCTATAACACATTACAGATAAAAACAGGTACTCACTTCATAATGAAGCATGAAGTTTTTGTCTTTGATTCCACTGCAGATTAAAAAAACAGAGAATGAAAGTGATGAACAGAGATGAAATGCTGTCTGTTTGTCAGCAGGATCACGCAAAATATTTTGGAAGGATTTCCGCTAAATTGGATGAAGGTTGAGACGTGCGCCGAGAATGAAGCAATTACATTTACAAATCTTTTTCACTGTCTTTAGATGTATGAGAAACAAAATAATCACTTGTATTTAGGGGACTGAGATCTATGAGTGTATGAAATTTGGTGCGGATCCAAATAAAAGATCTAGATCTAGCGGATTTATACGTGGTTTCATAAGTGTAGTTTCACGTGTGAGTGTTCTACCTCAGAGCTGTGGTAATAATATCTGCTTTGACACTGGATTCCAGGGAATCGAACGTGACACTGCACAGCACCTGCAGGAAACAGAGGATGAAACAGAGGAGCCGTCAACGTTAAGAGCTTAACAAAGAATTTCAATGGCCCTCTCCTCCTGCTGTTACAATATGTTATCTTTCAGAATTGCAGAAAAATGAAACATGAATAAGTCAAATTTGGTCAGCTCTTTACACACCTGTGTTTGTCCTCTCTGAAAAAGGGCGGAGCCATGGAGCGGCTTAAAGAGGTCTACGTCGCAAGAAATGTTCCTCAGAGCGTTCAATTCCCTTCCATCACACCTGACCCACAGAAGAGTTCAACATTGATATCAAATATTAAAATACAATGTTTGCATCATGTGTCATGAGAATATAAATGTATTCAATCAGTACCTCCTGTACTCATTCAGCACTAAGTTGCGGAAGATTTCTTTGCTC